TCATGTTTTCCAACAATTGATGAGAGTTTACACAGAATCAGGAATTCAGGACAGTCGGTTGGTGCATGCATACTATGAAAGCTGCTATAAGCTCAGTTTGGGGAGGAAAATACCGATTTAACTCTACTAAGACAGTAGAGAAAAGCATCTTCTCTCCAACACCGCTCCACATGTTTGTTGCACAGTACCCAGTAGTAACGTTGGAGAATTTGCAGCAAAAATCCTTAAAACTTAAACTTAAAACTTACTGTCTCTAAGTACTCAAACCAATGCAAAAAAAAATGCACTGATCAAATTTCAGTAACTAGGTGACAGTTTGTGCTTGACAAATATTCGATTTGTTCCGAGCAACTGCATTCTAAAATCTACATGTGCAATCATACAGAAAATACTAACTACATTTACATTACTGATTTGCTTTATGCATGTTGCATCACAGAGTCAAAATTATCCAAACTTTATGAAATCATGTACATGTTGGAGAAATAAACTGAGAATTGAATCTTTGTAGCTCGCTTTTTTTTTCACTTGATGGAGGTCATTTTAAATCTAAAGCAAAAAGTTGAGCTATTTTAATATATTTGTGTTGATTTTGTGCATATGATTACAAAGGACTCGATTCCTAATGTTAAAAGCATTCAGAGTATAGCCAGTTAATAATTTCAAGAGCATGAATTTGAAAAGCATTTAAACAAAGCTAAAATTTAACTTTTCTGCACAAACAGGCCTATACACGATGCAAAGAAGTTTTAAATGTGAAAAATATTTGTTTAAAACCACACGAAACAAGCTAGTAAACTAAAGCAGACACTTTCTTAAACAGGCAAACAAGCTGTCAACAACATTCTCATTTAATTCAGTCTTGGGTGGAGGGGGTCGGCATAATGACTATGCAGCTCCGCGTAGGATAACCACCACAAGATGATCCTCATTAAGTGCGTCTGCACTCAGACCGGGCACATACCGCAAAAGCTGTTTCTGGGAGAACTCGCAAGGAGGGAAAGCATGGAGAACACCGTAATCTTTCACTGATCCCGGCGACACCGGTAAGCTGATGATGCCAGCCGCCTGCTTCTGCTGCAGGTAGGAGACCAGGTTGCGCAGGGCACGCAGCTGGGTGCCAGCGGGGATACCCTCCTGAGAAGACCCCGGAAGGGACAGCAGCAAGCAGTGGCCGGCAGAGCCAGCATCTGTAATCCTCTTGCCGACCTCGTCCAGCTTAGGCTGGTCCAGGCGAAGACGCTGGGTGATCCGCAACGGTGATTCCTCGCTGGCTCCACCCACTGGCAGCAGGTTCTCAGCAACAGACAAATCACCGCCAATGAAGTACATGGCAGTCGCAAAGGCACTATTTTTCAGGACAATGTGGCTCTGCCAACTCTGTGGGAAGTACTTCACAAGATCAATGAGGCTGTCGTACTTTTCCGATTTCCTACTCTCCTGCTTTGAACTGTATCCTCTGTCTGACGTCCTCCTATCATTGCGATAGCCATCACCATCACGTCTTTCGTTATCATCACTGTAACGTTTTCTGCTGTGGTACTCGGAGGTGTCAGTGTTGCCCATTGCTGCCCTCTCTGGCGAGTCAAAGCTTCCATCAAACCTACGATCCACTCCAGTACTGCCACTATCTGGAGACCGACGCTTCTTGAAAGGTCTTCCTCTGTCAGACGGACGGTCTCTGATGAAATCAACACCTGGAGATGCCTGACGCTTACGTCGGTTGTCTTGCCCACGAGAATTAAACTGCTTGGCTCCGCCGTCCGAGTTTCTGCGGCTCCAATCAGGATCACCACGGTTGTCATCTTGCCAGTTGGCAGCACGGCGGTTAACATCACCACGGTAGCCTGCCCCATCTGATCCTTGCCACTGGTCACTACGCCCACTCTCACGATACTGCGGGGTCGGAGAATAATCCCGGCGGTAATCACGGCCCTGGTTGTAACGATTGTTGTAACCACTACCATCATCTCTGAGTTGTCTCCGAGGGGGTGAATGCACTGCATAAGGCCTGCTACTCCCAGTATCTGGATCTGCAAAATCAACACGGAGACGACGATTTGGGCCACCCAGAGGAAACCCTCTCATATTTGATGCTGCAGCCTGTGCTGCTTCCAAGGTTTCATACTGGATGTAGGCATAGTCGTCCCCCTTGAAGTAATCAATCTTGCGAATGGCTCCAAAGCGATCAAATTCATGTTCCAAAACTCCCAAGGAGACCCAGGGCCCAAGACCCCCTACCCATAAACGCGTTGTTGGTGACAGCTTGCCATAACCTGTTTTGGCCTGGTTCCTACCAATGTACTGACCAGACATTGACACCATGGCCTTATGGGCCATGTCAAGATTCAAAAACCTAACAAATGCAAAAGGATTTCCCTGGCCACGGGGTGGGTATTTGATATCTACATCTTCCACAATGCCATACCGCTCAAAAGCATGCCTCAGATCACCGTCCTGAATTCCTTCTTCTAAATTTCCAACAAAAACAGTGCGCGTTGCTTTGGGATCATCTTCAGGCAGAAGCAACAAATCTCGTTCACGGTCATGACGTTCACGTTCACGTGACTGGTAGGTATCACCATAAGGTCTTCGGTTGTCATACTGATTATCTCTATCCCTGCCTCCGGGACCATCCCGCCCCATATTTCTGTTTTGCTGGCGCCGCCCACCCATGGGCTCCTGGCTCTGTCTTCCAGGGTAGCCTTGGTCTGGAGAAATACTCCTTCGTCTGAAAACACTATCAATTCGCAATGGCTTGGCAAAAAGTGTTAAGCGATCTCCTTTGGCCTGTTTGGCATCACGTGCCTGCTCCGAGTTACGATAATTAACAAAAGCGAACCTCTCGTCCCCACTGTATGCCACCCGCACATTCACCTCCCCAAACTTTTTGAATTCATGAAACAGGGCATCCTTGATTGCCATATCTGACACATGGGAAGGGAAATTGCTGACACGCAAGCTTGAGTATCTTGGCTCCTTGTCATGCTTGTCAAATTGGCCACTGTAGCGATGGTCGCCGGGGTAAGGTTCTCTGCCACCGTCACGCTCATGATCGCTGCGGCTCGAACGCTTCCCGCCGTCTCTATCTCTCCGGCGCTCTTCCTTTTCCAGACTGCGCGACCGGCCCGCTTTGTTACCTCCCCTACCTTCATAACGGTCGTTTCCAGGGCTCATTCTGTCTCTTGAGATGGAGTGCCTCACCTCTGGGCTTCCCCTTGTCCACTTCGGCGTGTCTTTACTTGATTGGTGCCTCATTTGTTCGGATAGTTGAATTAAGTGCGTTTAATTCACCTACTGTTGCCAGCAGCTCAGGAAAATCGTGAAACCCCACTTGTCGCCATATTGTTACTAAAGTAAAGAGACTGCTGCCTATTCAACAAGTTTAGACTGTATATAGATTTGTGCTGGTAGAGGCCTGGGTACATGTCTAAATCTTAAAAAAGGTGCAACCGCGGCTCTTTTGCGCTGGCTATTCATACAGCTGTGCCGTTAACAAAGCGCCGAAAACGCAAGCAGTTACATTGTAAGTTGACACACTGTATTCCCCTGGCTTTCATTTTCAAATTGGACTCCAGATGCAGTTTCAGAGAGACTAAAAAGACTTTTTTAAGTACAGTGAGTAACACACAGGCATACCCTTCACTTTCCCAGATAGGCTTTTGGAAAAATCTATAACCGCAAAATAGCTATTTACACGATCATCAATCAACAACATTTGTGTCACCGTGACATCATCTATAATAGGATTACATCTAGATTTTAATTATTATTATTGTTATTATTTATTCATGCCAAAAATTCAATATACATCACAAGCAAGATGGGCATAGGGGAGACAAAAGTAATACGGAATCACTGTGGTCACAGACCTGTCTCCCCACATCAAGATGTGGGAAATTAACAAATTAATAAAATAAGTATACTGTATATACATGTACATGTAAAAACACTGAACATGAAGACATTAAGAATAAATTTTAAAAAACACACATTCAAAAATACTTTATGGCACTGAGTGTAATTCATAGGTAAGTCAGATAATATCAATAATAGCACAGTGTTTAAGCTTAACCAAAGAAGAAATAAATGATTATGCCAACACGGAGGAAAATGGTGAAGCAATGCTTGTGTACCTTTCCCTTAGACAAATAAAACTCAGTCGAGACGAGTAACAAGTAGATATGAATGCCCCACAAAACCTTTTCTTTTTAAATTCAAAGTTAAAACCTAAAAATTCAAGTTAGTGTAATACCAAACATATCCACCTATTACTACATAAAAAACTTCCGTTTTGAGAATAAGCTTGAAGACTGACGTACCATTTCGTCCGTTGGCTAGGAATATTGTAAAAAAAAAAATAGATCAGATCATGAGCATGGATGAGTTCTGTGCTTTGTGAAAATGGGGTTAGCATATTACACAGAATCGCTTTGTTGTAGTTGGGTACGGTTAGGACGTAACATACCAGTGAGGTAGCGGCGCAATGCATATATTTTAATTCATGGGGAGCTCGGAAATCACCTTACCCCAGTCCTTCCCGTTCTCAAGCTTAACCACACACCCCTCCGAGGTGTCTGGCTCTCCCTTTGGCAGAAAAAGTCTAGCAGGTAGGGTCTATGGCAAGTACTAAAGCTGCTCATCGCAAGTCAGTCCGATTTTTTTCAACTTTGATAATCGTTGACGTGACTAAGGGGGAAAGTTTTAGGGGAACGGTGTCTATACGCCATAGAAGAATAACAGAATCCCCTCCTAGCTTACGCCAAATACGCCATGGTATAGTGGACGCACGCAGGCTACTCCACCGTGACTAGATATCCATCGGAATGATGTTCCGATTGTAATGATGAGGTTTGCGATCAGACTTCTATTGACTCGTGTACTACTACTAGTAAGTTCCCTTATGAGCGGAATGTTGGTGCAAGTTGGTTATAAATAGACGGTGGCTCGAGATGCGGCTAGACCGAAACAAGGAACATGTACATGTACGTCCTTTATTCACCGGGCAGCTCTGCGAATAGCTTTTAGCACTGCGCTCTTTTATTTATAGAAGTTGTATTCTTCCGCAGTAACTTAGAAAACAATTTCACAAATTTTCCACAAAACAAATGATTTCCCGATTTTTAGGTGAATGCTATTTATAAATGTGTGTAGATTGGTGGAAATCAAAAGGAGTCTAAATGCAATAATCATGAATAAAAATAAACATGAGAACTACTTTTGTCTAGAGATGCATAATGACTGCTTCGTACTCCAGCTCCTAGTCTGGTGCGACTTTGCCCGTTATGGTTGGATCACGTGTTCGAAATCTTTCAAGTGTACAAGGATGGGAGACTGGAACCAGACAATGTACATCCGTGTCACGCGTATCGTGTCATCCGCGTGAATCACTGAACTGATATGTGTGCAATGATGATGACGATCATGACATCGTTTGGTTGTATGTACATGTAAACCTCCGTAATTTTCCAGTCTTGGTAAGCGGCCGGTAGATTTGCTAACGTTAGATTTGCTGCTGTATCCTCAGTAAATCCTCCATTTAGCGCTCCCTCCCTTTTTGGTTGGAACTTTATCGTCAGATGGTGAAACTCCAAGAGTTTTTCTAAATTCTAGCTTTCGTCTGCACGTCTGGTTGCTTTATTGTTTTGTTTTGTGCAACGTTATTTCACAAAACTGTGTAACTTAGCTTTTAGCTGAGCTGAGGTTCGCGCGAGGCATTTCGTGGAAAAGTGGTGAAATCAACTGCTATAAATAGACATTTGTTCGTCTGCTGTGCCTGCAACGGATCTCAGACAAATCTCAAAGAGAAAATGGATGCCTTTTCCTGGTTGAGGTTAGTTTCTAGTTGGCAAGATTGTAGCCCTAGTTTTCCCTCATCAGCATGCCATTATCAGATAATTAACATGATTAATATTTCATTATTTGAATGCATGTAAATAGGCCTATTGAGTGTTCCATTTATTTTGTTTATGTTCATAACAATTGCCATTTGTAACTAAAAGCATGAAAAGTTGACTGCAAAAATGTAGGAAACTACATTTATCTGAATACCACTTTTTGCTGTGTGTGTGACTGGAGATTGTTTAAGGTCCCCCGAGTTACTTTTAGTTTTCACATTACTAATAATTAAAGGTTGGCCCTGAAAGAGAGTAGTTAGTCGATGTCTCTTGATTGTCCTGACCCTATTTGGGTTACATTTGGAAGAGTAAATCAGAATAAAAAAAATGCAACTTTCTTACCTATGTCAATGTAAGTGGATGCGCGGTCAACTTGACACACGCACATGGCAGACTTTGTGGGTCATGCTACATCATGTAGCGTCAATGAGAGTCAACAGAGCATCAACAAGTTATTCAAGCACATTTATGCAATTTTTTTTTTGAATTTTCAGTATTAGACTTTTACATACATGTATCTTGTTCAATATATCATATTTATCTGAAATACTTGAGTGTTGAAATTAGAGTGACAAAGTCGGGCATGGTCGTGTAGTCTGACTGGCCGCCATCTTCTCTTCGCGTGGACGGCAGAGTAAAATTTACATTTTTCTGTGTGAACCTGGAAGCGAATTCAGTTTAAACTTTTCTTACACAGTGGCATGTATTAGAGTCTCTGAAATATGATAAAAACAATTTAAAATCTTTAGAGGGTATTTTCAAGTTGTTAACGCTTTTTTTGACGCTACTTGTGTGTGGTGATGCTTGTTCATACTTATTGACGCTAAAGAGCATGACCAGACTGTGTGACCTTTGGCTGTTTGCTTCAATACTCTTACTCCCTAATCTGCATTTTCAACCAATCAGAGATCCACTTTCTAAGGAACCTTGCCAGTAACCAATAAGAGACACTCTACCAAGCAGGTTTTACATCACTATGTGGACGCGTGTGTGCCCCATCTGGCTGTAATCTTAAATCTTCTTACTTCCTAATCACCTCATCTCAACCAATCAGAGATCAGCTTTCTCATTAAACTTTTCAGTTACCAATCAGAGACACTCTACCAAGCACGTTTTAACATCATTGCCATGTTTATTTTCAGTGGATGCGTCCACGGTCTAGGTCGATGAGGTTGTGTTTACCCCATAATTTCCCTCAAAAATCAAAACCCTTCCCTCTTTCTACAAAATTGATGCTGCAGTTTGACGAAATAATGTCATTGTCATCTACATGTAGTTAGGTGATTCTGAAAGCTTAAATTTGATTCTTCCTTCTGCAAGTACTTGTATATGAAACGGGTCTCGAAATATACAAACACCGGGTGTGTTGGTAGTGGCAGCCCAATCGTGCCCACATGTCACACAGCGACAGTACAGTCGACATTCAGTAATACGAGCTCGGTTTAGACGAGCATATTTGGCAGTCCCGACTGAATTGTGCACATTACTATGAGGGAAAAAAATGTGTAATACGAGCTCGGATGTTGAGATTTCGGTTAAGACGAGCACTTTTTGTGCACTGGCCGAGTGCAAATCTATCTGTCTCTTTAACACAAGCTTTTTGAAAGCAACTTGTCAATCAGCCAGTCTATTCAATTTTGAAAAGCGCTTCCGTAATTTATACATGTGCAGTATAACAGCACTGTGGTTTTCCCTCACGAGAGACGAACAATGGGCGTTCGCGGTTCTCGTACCTAATGTAGAAATTCGGTGTGTCGGCTCAACGCCTGAACACAAGCAAGTGCCGCCAAAAGTGCGACAGTATGTAGGACAGTGGTGAACAAAAGAAATCTTTTGTTTGATTCCCCCGCCCCCCAAAAATTCCCAAAGTCGTAACAGGAAACTAAACACCGTAACCAAACACCCGGCCCGAAAACTGCCCACCCTCCGTCTAAAAATCTTTACCCGCTTTTTTGACATTTCTATGAATTCTCAATTTAAGAAAATCATGACTAAACCGTGATTTTCAGTCCAAAAATGTTTAAGAAAATAACAACCACAAGTTTTGAAGAAAAAAATGTATCCCTCGCTAATAATTTGTCACCAAACCCACACGCCTTTCCAAAGTAAAATCCGATATTCGCCCTCTGCTTTCCACACCACCAATAGCTGGTTTCCTCACATTTTTATGTGCAACAAGCACAGCTCTGGTGTTGGTTACCAACTAAAATTTTAATGTAGTTAAGTGCGTGTATGTGGATCTCATCACGGCGCGCGGGGCCGGGGACATGTTGCTCTGAATCGACATGACTGGTGGAAATTCCACTTTCTCCATTCTTACATTTTGTAACTATCTTTATTACAAGTCTTTATTCATTAAACTATATCACACTTTCATAAACAAGCTTTTTTCAAATCAAATTCATGTAAAAAAACGATACTATGTGCCTTTAAACAAAAAGTTATGCACACTTTTACATGTAGTTGTATGCATGTATGCTTTATGTACGGTCGATTGGTGATACATACTGTACGTCAAGCAGGACGGCAGCTAATTTAATACGAGCTAATTTAGTAAGTCCCAAGGTCCTCGTATTAACGAGAGTCGACTGTACTATGAAGACAAATGCCAAGAGCCATTCACAATCCTACATATGGGGCTAGGCATGTTGGTTGCAATCTGCACAGTTGTTTGATTGCGTTCATTGTGCAACCAGTCAATCCTGTAGGAAATATTGAGCTGAACATGCACGTTTCAAAACAGTTCTCCACAGCCATGAATTACAAAGAACAGCTAAAAGGTGATCAGCTGAATGTGAAAAGATTGGAACTTTGAGAGACTGTACATGTACGGTACTGAAAGAACAAGGCCTACTCCTAGATTAACTACCGGTTCCAGTCTATATGTTTGGAGTGGAAAGAGTTCCATACACAGACATCACTTGACACCCTGCGCACATTCCCTGTGCCAACTAAATATTGCCTAAAGTAAACATTCCAATATTTGCCCTGCTAAGTTTGACATTTTAGATCATGTTACCACCTTGTAATGGCTGATTTACCACTGCAGAGAAAAATTAGCGATGTCCGTATTTGGAAGTCTTAGTGTCGGAGTCCCCCACTTTGTTTCTCAGTCTCAGAAAAGTAAAACAAGGAGCCTGATAGTTCCAGAGATGCTGCAAGATCAACTGATGGTGCAATGTTTGATCAATAGCGCCGACTGATCATGCCCAACGCCAGTGCCGGTAGCACTCAGCCTCATCAAGTACCTTGCAAAAATAACCAGAATTCAAGTCTTATCATTGTTACAACTAAAGATAACGAAAGAGTTCCTTTACCCAGCCACCAAGAAAAGAAAATTTAAGAACTTCAGCACCAAGTTTTAAAATATGACCTTCATTTACACAATGTATGTACCTGTACAGGTTAGAACAATTTTTTCTTGAGACAATTTCCTAAGATGAATGGATCCGTCTTTGATGAGAATAAAAGATGAGGTGGATTTTGTTATGTGGGCTTGGATACTGAACTCTTGCCAAAGAAACAAAAGACAAAAATATTTCTATATTTATGTATTACATCTGTGTATTTTTATGTGTATACATGTATGTGCATTAACCCCAACCCCTAAGCCTTTTTACTAAGAACCATCCTGAATCCTCCAAAATCCAACATGATATAATTGCATTCAGCCCAAATCCTCCAAAATTTCTTGAAAATGTCATTTGGAGGTGTGCCTAACTGCCCTAATCCTTCAAAATCCTCTGGCAATTCCTGTCATTATGTTTAGGCAGTGCGAATGGCACTCTTGAGCTGTGCAGTTGACTCAAAAGAAATATTGGGCTAAATTTGTGCTTGACTTAGCACCAACAACTTAAGGTCTAATCCACGACCTTCACGTATTGCATCCTTAGTACATAGTGCAAGTAGAAATACACAGTAAATGTTTGAAACCATGACTGTCGGCGATTGATCAGGATGAACTCGAAAGCCCACAGTTGGAAACTTCTGCATTCTTTGCTGACCTCTGCAAAAATGACTTCTCCCCTCACATTTTATGCCATGATGATTCAATTCCTACTCGGTGCTTAATTACCTAATCCTTTCTCATGTTAAACAGACTTGATTTGGGTTAATGTGTTCAGCCCCGTTTGAATTATTGGCATGTACTTTTTATGTTCTTAACCGTGCCAATAGAAACAAATTGAAAGTTACAAAAATAAAAAAATGTGTAACATCCAAAAAGCTGGCAGGTGGGATGCAACACATGTCTTTTATTCTTACTTGTTTCTTGTAGTTGATCCACATGTGGGGATCGTTTTAAAAAATCTATCTTCTTGTCGATGTCATGCCAAACACTCCAAGGACTAGGTCAAGTCTATGTATTGCAGGCGTATGTTGTTCGTACATGTCATGTTCATGTACGTACATGTATGCGTACATGGACACTGTACACGCACCCACGTACACGTATACCACAGGCAGGCCATGTGCTCATGCTTATGCTTGAGTCTGAACATGGCATCAGAAGATATCAACAATTTTTCCAATCGTTTAGGTAGAAGAACCTAACAAGCTTTATGCTGATTATTGATAATAACAAAGATTATGTGTCGGTCAACCGTTACCTTCGAGAAGAAGTCTGTTATTTTTTGTTACATTCTGGATGATATAGTGAGCAAGTAGTGCATGCCCAAAATGATGACATGTCAACCTCGTCCTCACGGACTACCTCGTGCGAGACTGGGCACAATATGGTGGTTAACGAACGCCATGGGAATGAGGTTGATTACATGTATTGTATAACAGATCACTGGTGAAAAAGTATGGCTTCCTGGGTTCATTTTGTTACAAGTTGATAGATACGGTGCTGTAGTTCATTATGGGAACCTGCCTGCCGCCGTTGATACGTTCAAACGTGAGAGCCATAACCCAGCATACATGTGCTTTACTGCAGCATATTTTCTATTTTTGACTTGGTTGATGGGGGAAAAAGACAGATTTTTAACTCGGATTTCATTTTCACATTTTTTGGGATCTAGATTACACAAGCGTCGAATTACATGTAGGTAGTGCACAGTTTGATTTACACCACCTGGCCATGTGTGAAAAAATGGGCCATGATTTCACGAAACTGGCTCTGCAAAGCACGGTTGCACGGCTTGTTAGCTAAAATGCTGATAAGCATCTCATCCAAGATTAGTGTCACAGTTATTTATATGTAAACTTCACATTTTTGGAGGCAATTGTACGTGTAGTGAATATACTTCATTGATGAAACAATGAAGGAAGATTGCTTGGATTATCAAATACACTGTACAGGGTTTAAGATCGGTGGCAATTTTGTTCTGAGATTGTTTTGGCCATGTTCAGCTTTGTTATTGAAGCTGATTACATGTTGAATCCTCATAACTGTAACTAATGGAAACTGGACTTGGTAACAAGTAGATCTTTTGATCTTAAAAGTGTAGCTGCCCTTAACTTTCCTAGCAATATTCACAGGCCTGTTGCACCCACCGTTTAGAGAGAAACTCCAGTCACTCAATACAGTGTACCATACTGTACATGTACTTTGCCAGTTTCCGTTGCTGGCAACTTTCCAGGGGCCTAGACAACTATACAACACAAAGATCCACCTCAAGGAGATGTGCGTGTTGATTTGAGTAGCAGTGTCGCTCAGTGACTAACAATTAGTTGAACAGGGCCCCTGGTAGGGGAACCAAGGCAGTCTATTGGTAAATAATAGATCCTTATGAACCAGGGGCGCGTGGGGATGGAGTAAGCATAGCCAGCCCCCTTGTGTCATAGTTTCCTGTATGGTCCCTTTACTATTACTCAGAGGAGGAAATATCGATGTGGCAAAAACCCGAGGACTTTGTAGACTTAAAGGGGCTACAGATCAAAACCTGAGGACTTTGTAGACTTGAAGGGGCTACAGATGAAAACCTGAGGACTTTGTAGACTTGAAGGGGCTACAGATCATGAAAGATTACACTAGAAGATTCTATCATAGTCGATAAGAGTACTGGTACACCATTCATCACAACATCGCGCGTCATCAATCATCTTTTTCTCTATATTCGTTATCTAACATGGGGATTATGTTTATCTCTGGTACACCATTTTAATACCATTAAGATTTGACAATTTGTTTAAATCTAGCACAAGTCACGGAAGAACGGGCACAGTGGAACTGTTACAACAGAGACTGATCATTAGGTGGTTTTCCAGTCTGCTGTCAATTTTCCAATCTTCTCACAATGAGCACTGTGCATGTACCGGTATGTACATTGTATGGTACATGAGTAACGTTGGGCAAAGTTTGCTGGTACTATATATACTGGGACATGCACTTAAGTTTAATTTGCACTGCCATCGTTTAGTCAGTTTCTCTGTTGATAGTGTTGCATATTTGAAGTGGATGGTGCTACATTTGTGAAGTTGATGACAGAAAGTTTAATTTAGTTAATCACTAGTCAATCAGAAGTCCAATAAAAAAATCTAGCTACGGGGCAGGTCGTGTCACATTTCATTTGAATAACTCGTGAATTAAGACAAGATAGCTTGCGACTTGGTCTCAACTCTGCCTGCAATATGAACATGTACATGTACGTAAATGAAATCTCACCCAGGTGGGGTCCCTTTAAACTTGAAGGACCAGAGTTGATCCGTCACTCAAAAGTTCTTCGTTGGGAGCCACAGCTAACACCCATGTCACTAATTGGAGGGTCGAAAGATGACCAAGGCGTGACTCAGCAAGCTTGCTTCAGCCCTCGCTGCTTGCTATCGCTGTCCCGGTTGCTTTGCTGTATAAAACAAAACCGGTTGTCTAACCTCTGGCAAACACATGCACCACCCCCAGCCTTACGCAGCCCACAGTCGTTCTAATTTTAGTGAGGAATTCCTTGTGTAAACAGCACTGGGCCGGTCGACTGTAATGGCGGAGGAAAGACCGATTCGTAGTATATTCAAAACTCCCTTGGCAGTGACCCAAGCAGAGTAAGTACCGGTTCATGTACACGGGTACCGTCAACAAGCTTGACCCTTGCACGACTGCATGAAAAGTAAGGTTGCATTGTTTTCAAAGGGCTGTCAGTGTCACTCGGGCCATAAACATGGTCTGAGTGACGTTGATTGCATCAGACTGCATGGACATCTGGGTATCTATACTACTGTATGTGTAATACCATTTCAACCGTACAAAAACCTCCCAGCATTTTTAGTTCGCGAGGTCAGGGCTTCCGTGCTCTATTAACCAAGCCTGTGTTTTTCTCCCCCTGTTTTCACGAACGCCCAGGGACAAAGCCAAAGGGAAGAATAATAACCGATCACAGAACATGATGGGTGAGAACCAGTCAACACAGATGGGTCTGTCCTTCCAGCCAAAGAAACATGCCATCACAGAGGACTATGAAATCACCAAGAAGGTCTTGGGACTCGGAATCAACGGCAAGGTGCTGGAGTGTCACAACAAACAGACGGGTCATAAATATGCTCTCAAAGTAAGTTGCCTTGAATTTCTCCCATGACAACTGCTCTGACAAACTTTGATACTTACATGCAGGCCAAAAGGGAGTAAATATTGACTAAAATATTACCATCAAAGTCAACACTAATGTCCAAATAAATTTCAGAAAAATATGCCCCTGCAGCCAAGCGTAGAAGATGAGTTGGGCCTTTGACCAGATGGATTTTATAGATACTCCAAACATTGACATTAAGATATTCATGGAACTATGGCTTTGTCGTTGTCTGGAGACGTGAGTGATCTTTACCCATCTGGCTTTAAACTTATGTTTACTTGAGAAATATCAAACTGTGTGCTGTGCCCAGAAGGTTGGAAGTATTTTTATTTTGTTAGAATTAACATTTTATAAAAAGCCTGGTACGGAGAGAAAGCCGTGATTTAAAAAAAACGCCACACATATTTTGATTTTTTCCCCAGTTAGTGGCTCTGCTCTGTCAGTTATAAAGGCTGTTTTGTAAGATGGGTTATATATTTAAATATTTGTAAACTGTTCCAAGTCTTTGCATGCATGTGTTCAAAACACGTTCAGACCATTATAAGATGTCATGCCATATTCATAAATTTGGGGTCCAATATTTGTCCTGTTCCTCGTACACCTGGCATGTGCTTTTTTCTGTTCAGAAATCATTCTTTAATTCCCAAGAGCGAATAAGTACTGCAGATTACCTGCCAAACAAATAAGTAAACATGTAGTTTTACATCAATTTCAGTGATACTTCTCTTGTCAAAGTATGCTTGTAAGGTAGTCACATGTCGGGACCTCAGGTTTATAGCGTAACCCATCAGTGGAGAAAATTCAAGGAATTGTGTACAAAAACATGTACATGTACATGTTATGTGCATGTGTGCTATATACATGTAGGCATGCCTAGTCATCTGGTCATTGGTGCAATCAGATCTGTACAATTTCCCATGATGACTCGACATTTTCGACAAAGTGTGTTGTGCTTGTGTGTCTAGAGAGTATGGTTTGATACAAGGGAGATTTACCCAAAGACGAATACGGTCATGTACATATGCCAGCTTGTATACGCCATATACATGTACCGTACGTGTACATCGTGAATATTATGTGTGCAGGTTTGCTTTGTGTGTTCGTCCTTGCGCGCTGCACAACTGCATGAGGCTTATTTTCTTTTGATCACGCCTGAATGCATTTGTTCATCAGTTAATGTCAGGGTCATCCCAGATCGTATCAATGTGTTTTGTGTGAGTCAGGAGCAGGATGTCATTCTATTGGTGTGGGTCAGGATTCTACACGTTTCTATTAACCATTTCACACTGTGAGGTCATATTGTTCATGGTGAAGTCAGACTTGGTAGTTTCCTGTGACTGCTGTTTGGTCATACAGTTCATAGTCGTGCAGGCACAAATGTATGCCCTCTGCACGTATTTGAAATGGCAATGGGACCCCTCCCATTCCACCTTACTGACCTCCCCCC